CCACCCCCCTGCCATCCCCGCCATAGAATAGCATTTTTGTGAGTATAGTGACTCAGTTTTGGTCCACACTGTGTTCCTAGCACATAAAAGAGAGTTGAGTACTAAAACGCCAATCAGTAAAGGTTATTTCCACATTCTTGGAAACTCTGGCCAAGAATTCTTGGCATCTTTTTAAATGCCTTTTCCTCTTTCATTCTGTTTTCCTCGGCCAGTCCTGTCTCTGGGATTTGCTTCCATGCTGGATGGCCTCTCCGGAGCTCCTCTTCCCAGGCCAGGCCCTGATCTAAGTGCTGTATATATTAGCTCATGTAGTTTTCCCAGTAATCCCATGAGATCCATGCTACTAATACCCACATCTTACAGAGAAGGAAACTGAGGCAGATAGCCGTTAGGTAACTAGCCCAAGCCACACGGCATTCAAGGAGAACACAACAAAGATTCTGACTTGTGTGCCTGTGGTGGTGCTGACTGAACCCCTCCCCCCTGGTCTGCTTTCAAGATCTCCGATGCTTCCTCTTTCATGGAGTCTTCAGCAGTCGTTCCAGCCAGCATTCTTTTGTCCTTTTTTATTCCCACTGCACCTACAATTGCTACCATAGTTTGTTCCCTATCCTCCAACATGATTATTAACCTCTTGTGATCAAAGATTATCCTTTACGATCTGGCTGTCCTCACCGTATCACACAGAATGGTGTTGAGACTGTAGTGATGAAGCTAGATGCTCAGTGAATATTTGTGCTACGACTGTTAGACGTTTAAAAATCTTTCAGTTGATGGATTTTTATTTCAGTGGTAATGGCTCAGAACCAAGAAAATATGTGTACCTTAAATTCTGTAAGTAAAGGAAAATAATGTCTGAAAAATAGGGGGAAGTGGGGATGGATGAGTAAATGCTCTCCTAATGTTGGGGATCTGCATGAGCTGAGGGATTTGGCTTGTTAAAAGAAACCCAGAGTGACCGGGAGCTTTTATCTGGATCAAAGAGTAATTTTACTTGTACTCTGAAATAATAACATACCTGGATGGCAGAAACCCAAACCAAGGTGAACGTCCCCTGTATGAAATGTCCCAGAGCAGTTGTTCTGAGGTCCCCTAAGAGTCAGGTTATGCCGAGAAATGCTTTTTAAGTAACAGGACTTACTAGGTCATAAATAGGTAATAGGTGTTGACTTGTTCAGGAGAACTTGAGGCTGTCTTTTAAAAACACAGTTCTCCGCCTCTCGTTTAGGGGATCTGTTCTGCCCTTTTGCCCCTTTCTGTTGCATTTGTGCAGGGAACACAGCTCTCAGTGTCACCTGCCTGCAGAAACACAGGGAAGCCTTCTGTCATCAGAGGCTGCTCATCATTGCATGGTTGTGCAACTGGTGTTTGTGGTCAGGCGTACAGTAATAAGGGAGCCTGCATGTCCCCAATACTATCTGATGCCACAGAGAGCTAGCTCTTCTAGTTCTCAGATGCAAGGCTGTAGTCAAAGCAGAACTTTATTTCCAAAAGTGTGTAATTTTTACTTGTTCTCAGCCTGACTTTTCACATGTAGTTTGAGTCACATGGCTCTGGCACAAACTTTCTTGCCTGAGGAGGCAAGGTAGAGACAGGTCAGAAGTGGAGATAGTATATCCATTTACTCATTCCATGAATCTTACTTGGGGGTCTGCTATTTGACAAGCACTGTGATGAACGAAAGAGGCATGATGAGGGAAAGACCACTGACCAGAACAGAGAATGATCACGTGATAAGTGCTATGAAGAAAACAAACATGTCCCAGTAAGTAATGGCATAGACTTAGGGTCCTCCATTCCGAGGAGACATTAAACTGAAGCTTGAAGGCTGGTGACACTGCCCCAACAAAGAGAGGAAGGGAGACAGACTCCAGGCTCAGGAAAACTGGCAAACTACATATATTTTTGTTAAGTGGTTGGGTGGTACTAAAAACTGAGGTTGTCAATCGTGATTCCTGTGGCTCGTGCTGCTAATGTGTCTCAGGCTCATTGCCTGGCTTCTTCAAAATCACGATCCATTTCCAGTGAGTGAGATACAACTTCAAGTTTGACTGACCATTTGGATATTACAAACACAGGATATCACAGTATTTTCTTTCTTTAAAACTAATGTCTTGAACATCATCCTATTTGAACTTCAGGGACAAATGACTCGAAAGACCTGGAAAAGCTATCAGAATTTTTCCACTATAGGTAACAGAAGACTCAGCCACCAGCACGTTAAATGCATGGGGTTTATTAATGTCCATAAAACGTGTGGGGTCAGGCAGTTCCATGGTAGGTTAATAGGGTTGGTTAAAACATGGTAGGTCAAAATAATCAGGAGCCCAGGGTCTTCTTTCCAAGCTGTCGTCATTGGCATGTTGTGGGTTCTCCCCTCATGATCACAGAATAGGTGCCGCGGTTTTTGGCAATTACACTTGTGACACCATGGTAGCCAGTGAAAGGTGAGGGGCACTTCTCCCTCTGTGTTTCTTTTTAGAGGTGGGAAATTTCTAACTAGAGCACCACACACTCATCCAACCTCCATTCCCCCAATCTCATTGGCCAGGGCTCCACCGCCTGCGTCTGGCTGGACTAATCACTGTGCCCGGGATTGGGTCCCCTCAGACTGACTGAGGTAGATCACCCCTGAGTTTGGAGGGCAGTGAGGGTCACCTTTTCTAAGCACATTGAAGGGTGAACCACCCAACAGAAGCAGGGGAAGTTCAGCAAGGAAACAAAGGGGAGTGGACAGGAGGAACGCATGGCTATTGGGAAGACCAGGGGCAGGACCGCGGGAGTCCATGGTAGAGGCACCCCCCCGCTTTTCCAAAGTCTACATTCGGTCACTTTGCATTTCCGAAAGACCGTCAATACGTGTTTTGGCTAACTGAAAGAAACCCGAAGAGGATATTCACTTATGAAAATATGCAAAAAGTGAAAACAGCATTCAGCGTTGTTTTGCACAAGCCATGGTAGGGGCAGTGGCACCCCAGCAGCGAGAGTGGCCCCACCCATCTCCTTCCCAGAACCACATTCAGCATCAAGCCCCATTGCTTTAAACTGTGTCTGAGCAAATGTGCTTTATCGATTTATTTTGTGCATCCATGAGCAAGATACGTCCTCAGGTATCAGAAAAGCCCAGGAGAACTCGTAAGGGTGTTACTTAGTGTCAAACTGGATGTAATTAAGTGTATTTGGTATGAATTGATAGGTTATTTGGGGGTTATGGGTAAGCTCAGAAAATTTTCCATATAAATTAAGGGTAATTGCTTTTCTGCTTGATGCCATTTCAGCTTTCAGAAGGTTGCACAGGGACACACTAGCTCTCCCTCTGGATGAGGGGGAAACCTGTGTCACTGCTGAGGGCCGGGTCAGAGCTGTTAGCAGGTGCTCACATCTCTGCGCTCTTAGTGATGCTCTCATTCATTCCCCGCCCTGCTGGTTAAAATGGGGCGGGGGGGGGGGAGCTGAGGGCGTGCTGAGCCTTGGCTGTACTGGTGCGTCTACCACATCAACAAAGGGAAGTCAGGCGGGTACACGATGCCTTGACACATTTACAATAAACCTGGGTTTTTTTTTAACTCAAATATGCCTTATCATAAAATATATGATAAGAAATGAAGTATATACAGTGTGTAAGTGCAAAGAATAATAAAATGGAAGTCTTACCTGTCTCTATACCCTTGAAGCTCCCAATGTGATGCGCCCCCGTTGCATCTACTACTCTCCCTGAGGGCTGGCCACTGCCCTGAATTTTTGAGTTACTCACTCTTCTCTTTATAGTTTACGTATGTTTCCTTAAATTTGTTTCTCAAACTTTCATATATACCAGACTCACCCAGAGCTTCTGACTCAGTGAGTCTGCAGTGAGGCCAGAGCTCCACATTTCTAAGTTCCCGGGTGACACTGGTGTTGCTGGTGCAGGGACCACTCTCTGAGCACCCCTGTCCTGACAGCAGACTGCTCAGATTGGGCCTGTTTGTACACGGAAGTGACTGGATATGTTCTCTGTAACTTGTTTTTGTTTTGTTTTTTAACTTAACATTGTTTTTCAAATTCATCTTTGGTGATATGGGTAGGTAGGGGCATTCATTTTTCTCCCTGGTACAGTGTTCCATTTTTCATTAATCTTTTGCCCATGACTTTGTGAGGGAAAAGGAGAAATAGGAACAAATTGCTTAGGGCACCAGCAAAAGTTGATTCTGCCGCACCCATCAAGCGTCCAGCACCAGTGCCCCCTGCTCATGTGGCTCAGGGCATTGATACGGAAGGCCCGTGGCCGTGGAAAGAAAGGTTCTGGCGTGTCACCTAAGACCCTTGGCTCTGCTGCAGGTTTAGGGGACTTGGGGTGCACCCGGCATAACAGGACCTTCAGACCTTCCAGGGTCCTCCAGTGTAAAATGGACCTCATCCTATAATATCAGCCTACCCTAATCAAGGTAGGACAGAAGGGAAGGTAGTACACCTAATATCTGCTTAGAGTGGGCTGAGCACTGTTGTCGAATAAGCTGATTATGAAGGATCAGAAGGATTGAATTTGTGAAAGTATGAAATGAATAAGTTCTCTTTCAAATCCTCTCAATAGTCATATGCGGTGTAAGTTTTTATACCTGTTGGTAAGAAATGTTAAGCTTGCCCAAAGCCACCAACCTAACATGAGGCAGAGCCAGATTTGAAGTCTGGGTCTGATTACCAACCGCTTCATGTGTTCACTCGACATCGCTGCCTCCCTCTCCTGGGCATTGGTCTAACCACTGAGGAACCCTCCCCTCAGGTACTTGAACGCGTCCTCTGAAAACTGCTTCCAATTAGTGTTGCCTGAACACTGAAACCGGCTTTCATGGTTCTTCCCATAATTAGTAGGAACACATGTAGCATAAAAACGAAGAGCGGGAGGAGACGCGCGGACGCGTTGTGCTCTTTGTGGGACCTGAATGTTTGACTTGGATGTGTGCGCCTGACCACTAACGAGGCAGCCTGTGCTTTTGTCCTGCAGGGGATTTCCCAAGAAGGCCAACAGGACTGCAAGAATCGCCTCTGATGAGGAGATTCAAGGCACAAAAGATGCTGTCATTCAAGACCTGGAACGGAAGCTTCGCTTCAAGGAGGACCTCCTGAACAACGGCCAGCCGGTACTGCGAGAGATGCGGGGCGCTGACTTGGAATATTAGCACCCCACATCAGGGAGCTCTTTTCCTCGCTTCACTAAAGCTTAGGTTCCAAAGATTTGTCCACAAAATTGATTGTGTTGCCCCTGAATCAAAATTCCCCTTAGTATTGTGGCTGGAATATGGGGAAAAGGGAGAAAGTGAACGTGATTCCTTCTACTAGGCCTTTCCTGTTTCCTCCCAGTCATGCCACCATCCTTGGAACAAAGATAGCACATTGGAGATGGAGGGGGGAAGGGCTGATGTAAAGGTCTGGAGTAGAACAAATGAGGAATCCTGATGTTCTAGTACTTAGTAAAAACAAGTCCCTGGGAGGGGTGGGGGGAGGGGGAGGAGGTGTGCTGGAATGATTTGTATCTACCCCAAAGCAGTGAATTGGGATTCGATGACGCACTGCTTAGACACAGAAAAGACCTTTACTCAAGAAACGATTGCTAACGTCTAGTTCTATTCTACTAGACGATTACTAGATACTGACACAGTAATCTGAAAGATTAAGGGCCTGTTTCACAATCTTGTTCTTGTTTGTCAGGGCAAGACAGCTAAACTCAAGAAAAAAATCATGTTTTAAGGCTGCAGAACTGTAGTTATATAGATATGGTTTTAAAAATGTGTGTGTGTTTTCTCCATTAGATTGAAATGTTTCCTCATCAGTTTTTTTTCTTTGCTTTTTACTGACCGTTTTCTTATCACATCAGAATAAGGGGACAGGAAAAGCAAGTCTGGCAAATAAGATTTCCCAAGTAAAGGAAAGGAGCCTTTTGTGGCTTTATTATAGAATTAGCACCAGAAAAATTTGTTTGGCTCTTAAGTACAAGAGGAAAAGGGCCTCTGTGTATAAAGTCTCCCTCTCAGACACCGTTTTTCAGAGTAGAAAGCTCTCTATGCTAATTGTTTTTCTAGGAATTTTAATTATCAAGTGTTGATAAATAAAAAACGTGAGAACACACCATGTTTGATTGGAAAGGTGGGGAACGGAGGAGGGGTGTTGAATGATGATTTTAATTATTAGGACATCCTAATCAGAGTTCAGGAAGATTAAAGTTCTAATGAGATTTTGTGTTAATTATTCACTGAGAATAGAAGAGTTTCACAAAGGGAAAACATTTGCTCCCTGAAATAAGTGATTGTATGTATATATGTACATACTCTGGAAGTTTTCCCGGCTCTGTCAACTAAACTAAAGCCTCTGAAAGATGAAAACAAGCACTTATGGGAACTTTTTCAGGCCAGGTAAAGAAAGCCATCTCACCTTTTTTTTTTCCTTTTTTGTTGTTTAAATATTCATTATGGACTAAGGTTCTCTAAAGTAAGACTTCTATGAGTTATTATAGTATACTATGTATAATATATGTACACAGTGTATATATTTGTTATATATACATATTTTATATGTGTATATATATATATATATATATATATATAATGTTTATCTAGCAGTGAATGACATTCACAATAAGTCCCATAGATTTCCACATTTCAGAGTTTAAAAGAACAAGAAAGATTTCCCCTTTTTAGAATATGGGACCTTCAAACAACTTTTTCTTAATGCTACATATTATCCTGTTCCTCATTTTTGGCTTCTGTAGCTAGAGCTTGTATATACATGAAATAGTGCTTAGAAACAGAACTGTGAAGTCAGTTTGGCTTCTAACGGTATCAGGTGAATTCTGGTGAGGGCTAGATTTCAAATTGTATTTTCCTGCTTATAAGGAACAGGGTGGAAATTAGTCCTCCCTTTGACGTTAATACAGTCCTCTTTGAAAACACTGGGAAGGCTTTTAAGGGAGCAGGCATTTAAAACTCTCTTTGAAAATTGAACTTTTTTTTTTTTTAACAGACGTGGTTAAATTAGTTTAAATAATAACATACTGGACTGAGACACTCCATGCAACAGACACCTACCTCCACCTCTTCACGTCCTCTGCTTCTCTTTATGAAATAATTTGAACTTTAGGACTATTTGTCATTTGGCACTTGACTTGTTTCACTTCCCGGTCTCAGCTGGGACTGGAACCAGCAATTACTGGAAATTGTAAATTTACCCAACATATTTTTCTGATTAGAGAGTTTCCAATAGAATTTGTATCTATATTCAGAAGTTTGGAAGTTTATCTGAAATAACTTCTGTACTCTTTTTTTAAATTCTGCCTAATTATTCTCTATTTTCAAATGCTTGTTTTGCCCCTAATGGTCCCTGAAATTTCCTCCCCAACTACCTCCCCAACTATAATTCTACAGCGATTCTGAACCAACACTCAAGAGCAGGAATCAGCCCAACAGACATAACAAAAATGCTGGCATTTCTTTTGTGTAAGAATGGCCTAGCAAACATGGTTTTGGCCAAATCCAAAGTGCTGGTTGCTAGAGACAAAAACTTGACCACTTTGCCTGATGGGCAAGCAGTGTGCCTCTGAGTAGAATCCTGAATTGTGGATATTAGCACTGGCAGGTATCTTTCATAGGCCTTTTGCTGACTCAGCCATGTGTAATCATTCTTTGTGGATTATTAGATTTTCCCACATTCACCTATGTTCTACAGCAGCCTAGGAAAATGCTCTGAGGTGAGACCCTCAAAGCGGAGGACCATCCAGTCTAAATGTTTATCATTAAGGACAATGACACGTTTTATAGGTGTGTTCTGCCTTGGTGTTTATTTTACTCACCTTAAATTTGTGCTATAGCAGTTGGTGACTCTCAAGATTAGTTACCACCATCTCCCAACACTGGATTAGGCCATTGGACCAGGAGGGGAGGTGAAAGGCAGGACGACTGCAGCAAGGCAAAGAGCCAGATTCCTTTTACGTACAGGTTATCTCAAGGTGGGGGAGAGAATACTTACAGATAACATCAAAACTTGTTTGGTTTTGAAAATTCTTTTTCACGGGGCAGTATATAATTGTGATTTTCCTAATTTTGTATTTTTTGTGACTTACTTCATTTAGAGGCTAACATATGAAGAAAGAATGGCTCGTCGATTACTAGGTGCTGACAGTGCAACTGTCTTTAATATTCAGGAGCCAGAAGAGGAAACAGCCAATCAGGTACTGTGCTCCTCCTTTGGATTTCCTAGAAAAATGACAATTACTAGGTCTCCTCCCCCCATGCTTTTTATGGACACCATTCTTGGGATCAATTCTGTGGAAAGTAGAGGGTAGGCCAAAGAAAAGTATTCTTTTATTTATAGTTATTGAGCACATACTTTGTGCCAGACATTGTGTTAAGTGATGGATGGAATTATTTCAGTCAGGGATAACCTCTTTTTATTTTCTTATTGTTCGGTTTATTCCCTTTCAAGTATCTTTGTTTTTCCTGTCCTGTGCTTTAATGAAAAACAGTTTTGTGTAGAGAAATACATTTTCTCTGAAATTGTTTGAAATACCTAGTGAATATTTCCAGGTTCAGTCTTAATATCTAGTCAAAATATCTATGTACAGAAAAGACTGTCTTTATTTTCTTTTGCTTCTATAGTTATAAATCACTAATCAGCAGAAAACCTAAAATGCTGTTTTTGTTCTGCGACCACCAAAAAAAGTCACTTCATGGATTTGATGTAGGCTGTTTTTTAATCTCCACTGCTTCTGTTTGGAGTTTGCAGATGTAGTCTCCATATTAAAGTAAGCTTTTTAAAACAAGTTTAAAGGACCAAGTAAACGCTTGTGTCTATTAAGAAACGGATCTGCCATCAGTATCTGAGAAGGTTTTCTATGTTAAATGTAGCTACCACAAAAACCTCACTTATAAAAAATGAGAAATCTTGCTAGATTCTTATTTCTATTATTAGTCTTCACTTCTTTTTTTCTGCCATTACAGGAAATTGGGTCTCCTCATGCTTCTGTAGGGAGTCCTCTGGATGGTCAAAAGGTCAAGCTTTTCACCTTTCTTCTTCCAGTCTTTCACTGTATCTGTTTTCTTATTTTCTTCCTTATTAACCTGTGTATCTATGTTTACTGCTATATATGAATTTTAATATGAATATATTATGAATATAATGAGTTTTGTACTGTGACAGTGTATTTTTGTTTAATATCAGATGAACAAAAATTACTGCAATGTGATTTTTATTTACAAACTCAAATTTGTCATTAGTAGGTACTCTGAACTTTAAATTGTGAAAAGTTTCTCATTATACCTTTCCAGGGAAAAAGTGCTACTTCTTAGACTGATTAATTTCATAGTAAGTAGACAAAAAAAAAAACAACTTGTGTATCTCTTTGCAGTTTTATTCATAATGTTGTATTTCTTTCCTCAAGCCAACAAACTTTTTTAAAGGTTAAGTAACTTCTTTAAGTGAAAACCTAGTTAAAACAATCTTTTATTTGATATTAAGTAGAAAATATTTTATAACGGGCTGCCTTGTCTTCATTGTACTTTGTAAGCCAGCAACTGTAGGATCCACCTTAATCACCATTGGATGATGATGGGGTATTTACTTTGCTTTTGTTTTTAACCAACGTTTTGACTATATATATATATATATATATATATATATATATATATATATATATATATATATATATATATATATATATATATATATATATGTAATTTTTTTTTT